AAAAATTTTTTGTGGAAACTTTTTAAAATTTTAAATAAAAATTTAATTCCTCTTTGTTCAAACAAAAAAACTTTTTTTAAATAAATTCTTTTTGTCTGGAAAAAGGTTAAAAATTAATGAAAATTAAAGCTAATTCTTTTTTATTTAATTAAAAAAGGGGAAGACTTATTTAGCAATTTATAAGAGAAAGGGAAAGGAGGGAGGGGAGGACTTATAATAATTAATAAATAAATAAATATTTTTTGATGTCATAAAACATTTATTTTAATTGTCTTCTTTTATTAAATTAAACAGGAAAACTTTTAAAATAATTTTTATTTCTTCCTCATTTTAAGAGGTTCTTTTTATTTTTAATCCAAAAATAATTATTTAATTTAAAAAAAAAAAAAGAAAATATTTTTGAATTTAAAATTTTGGACAACTTTTTTGAAGAAAATTTTTTCAATTTTTTAAAATAAAAAACCTCAGCGGGGGATATGTAGCAAATAAAAAGGGAAAAGTCTAGAAAAGTCTATCTACTTAAAAAATAATAATAATGTCGTAGCATTTTACAAAAAATGAGGGGAAAGTAGTTGAAATATTCCAAAAAAGAGGAAAAAAAGATAATTTATTATCAGCCTTATCCGGATTTTTGTTCTAAGGATTTCTTTTCTAAATATGAAAATGTCAAAAAATTAAATTGATTTTTTAAAAGAAATAAAAGTATTTAAGTATCTAGTCTAAAAAAGGTCATTTTATATTTGATATATATATTTGTTAGTAATTCATTTTTGGATTTGAAAAAAAAATATAATCTTTTTTCTCTTTTTTCAAAGATTTTTTCGCTACTTTTAAAATAAAAATGCTTAAAAAATATATTTTTGCAAATGTCAATCTCTTTTTTAAATTAATTTTTAACTAGCCTATAAATATAATATTTAAAAATGTTTTATTAAGATTTTTGTGGATGAATAAAGAATAAAAATCGAATTTTTAGGCAAATACATATAGGTAGTTTAATTCCCCAAAAGAATTTTTGATTAAAATCTGTTTTAAAAATATTTTTAGATTTTATGTATAATTTAATTATAAAAATAATTTTATCCCTCAATCAATCCCTCTCTCTCAAAAAAAATATATATAGGTACCTAAACAATTGTTGAAATTTCCTTAAAATTCTTATTGCGTGCACGTTACAAAAAATAATTTTTTATAATAAATAAAGGCACATCTCCACTTCTTCTTCCTTCTTAACATCATCATCTCATCATCATCATCCACTTGAACCTCCTCCAATATAAATTATTTCCCTCAAAATCGCCATACTTGTTTGTGTTTGTTTCCTATATATTTCCGCCCCCGTTTTCTTCTTCTCCCTTCTTCCTCCCCTTTCTTACTCACCCTCCCAAATTTCTCATTTTTTAAATTTCTTTCAATCCCCCACCGGTGGTCCTTCCTTTCTTCGTTAATCCTTCTTTTACAGGGCAACCCAATTTGTTAGTTTTCTACAAGTTAGTTTAACCAAATGAGAATCCAAACACACAATCGGTAAAAGAAAAAAATAAAAAAAAATAACTCAACTAAAATTAGTTTTCTTCGGGGAATTAAATTTTAAAAAAACAAATAAAAAAAGGAAGTTTTTAAAGTAATTCTTTTTTTTTTTGAAAAAAAGTACTGGATTTTACAAATTATAAAAAACAAAAAGAAGGTAAAAAGAAAAAACCATTTAGTATTTTATAAAAATTTTTTAAATAATTAAAAATAATATTTGGCAAAAAACAAAGAAAGTATTAGATACTGATTTATTTCCTTTGTTTTGTGTAAACTCTCAAAAATATTATTTAAATAATTGAAGGTTTTAAAATGGAAAATGTTAATTAAAAAAATAAAATCACAACTTAATATTCTCATTTTCTAGCTAGAAAAATAATAAAGGTTGTAGCCTAAATTAATAAAATATTTAAAAAAATACCGTAAAAAATTCTAGTGTCATTCTAATAGAGGTTTTAAATATGTTATATATGTAAATATTAAAAATTTAAAAAAATTAGATGATTAAATTTTAAAAAAACATATAAACTTTAAGAAAAACTTTCTAGACAATTCAAGCAATCGACAAGAGAACTACTGCGTGTAAATGTTCTCTTATAAAATATTCCCCTTAAATTATAATTTTTATAAATTTTTGTCGAGAGAATGAGAAATGGCACTTAAACTAAAAGTGGTTTTGAAGAGGAAGACAAAAAATTTTCTTTCAATTTTTTGGCCAAAAATGATTGACCTAATAATTCCCTTTTTTAATTTTGATTTGTATAATCCTCAACTAGAAGAGTGTAAAAGGAAAGAAATAAAAGAAAATTATTTTGAGGAAAATTTAACTGAAAAAAATTCTTTCATTCAAAAGTAAAAATATTAAAATTTAAAAATGTATTTTAATAAAAATTAATAGAATGAACATGTATTTATGTCAAAAAGAGGAAGGTATTTATTAGGTTTTTGAATTCAATGTTTAATGTCAAATAATTTTATATATTTTATTAAATGTAGTTTAAAATATTTTTCTGGAAAATTTTAAGAGGTTACCACTTTAACCAGAAATAAAAACAAACATTATCTTGTTTGAAATACTTCATTATATCAAGGGAATTTATTGAGGAATTATAAAAATAGCTAATTAATTAAAATTGAAGGTAAACTATTTCTTTATAAAGGCACTAAATTAATGTGCACAATTAAAAGAACACTTTTTACAGGCGAATATATATTTAGGTAAATTAAACCAAAAAAGCTAGTACATAGTAGAATAGTAAATTTAATTTTTCGGAAAAATTAAACAAAAACAAACACTAAAAAATGAAAAGAGAATTTTTAAATTCATTTAAAATTATATTTATTTAAAATTTATTTTTTTTGAAAAATAAATTTAATTTTTAATAATTAATTTAGTGTTTGTAAAAAATGACTATTAAAAACAGAAAAAAGGAAAGAGAGAAAACAAAAAATAATCAGAATTATTTATTTAGTCTTCAACAGGACAAGAAGTGAATCATGTATAGACGATGGAGAAACTGAAAAAATAATTTAAAAAATTTTTTTAAATTTAATTTAGCAAAAAAAATTTAAAAAATAAAAAACCAAAATTTTCCTTTTACCAAAAATAATTGAAAAATAACCACAATCTTATTGATAAAAATATAAATGACCAAAAATCGGGGGGATGTTTAAAATAACTTTATCGTTTTTTATAATTAAATAAACAAAACCTCCCAAAAAAAGACGGAACCTATTTGTGAAAGACACAAAAAGTAAAATTCCATAGATTTAAAAAGATTTAAATAAACACAATAAATTTAGCTCAAATTTTTCAAAAAAATTAATCTTAAAAATTAAATTTATTTAATTATTACATATATATGCAGTTCCTGAAGCTCTCACTGTGTTGTTGCTCCATAATTTGTTGGCGTGCCCGGTGCAGTTTGAGAACATGTAGGTGCGTCACTGCCAGGATTTGCTTCTGAATAAGGAGGTGGAGGTTCGTAACTTGTTGTTATTTTTATTCCCTCGATGTCTTCATAAATTGTAAATTTTTGGAATTTATCCTCTCCAGTATCGAAGGCAGTCTTAAAATTTTAAAATGGATAAAATTAGAAAAAGTTAAAAATACTTGATTAGAAGTTTGTTGAGGTTGTGTAGATATTGGATCTTCAGAATTACTTGACAAATCGAAAGGCTAAAATAAAGAAATATTTTAATTTTAATTGTGTTTATTGTTTAAATAAAATTTATTTAAAATAATTTTCAAAAAATACATTGGAACCGTCCATTCTTTTAGGTTTGTATTTACCACAACAACAATTGCAACAACCATTGAAACAAAAACAGCAACAGCAGCAACAAAAAAAGCACCCGCAAGTCAAAAAGCAAATTGAGCAGAATAACCACTAAGAAATGTTTTTTTAATATTTTTTTATAATAATTTTAGATTAAAAATTGAGTAAAATTAAAAGTAATATTTTCCTTAAAACATTTTAAAAATTTAAAATAAAATTTTTACTTTTAACCAAGGTTTAAGCATAATATTAATGTGATCCTCTCCAAGTTGATCGGCCATCTAAAATCAAAAATATACAAGAATCAAATCAAAAATGAACCTTAAGACCCATATCGCCATATTCATCATAAATTCTCCTTTTTGATGGATTTGAAAGAATTGTATTTGCATAATTAATTTCTTGAAACTGAAAATTTAAAAATTTAAATGAAAAAAATTTAAAAGTAACCTTTTTATTAAAGTCTTCATTATTTTGATTTTTATCAGGATGGTACTTTAATGCAAGACGACGATAAGCACCTTAACAAAAGTATATCCAAAAAATTTTAGTTAAAAAATAAATTCTAAAAAATCTCTTAGTAATAAAAAGCAATAGTTTTAAGAAAATTACTCACGTTTAATATCATCATCAGTTGCATTCTTAGTTAATCCCAAAATCTCATAAAGATTGCCTTTCTTCGTCAAACTAAAAACTAAATTAATTAAAGTACAATTATAAGTCACAAACGAGTCATTCAGAAAACCGGCACCCGTTGATCGTCTGTTTTCACTGCTTGAAGATCTCGTATATTCTGGTTCAGGTGTCATAGGTTTGTTCTTTTCTAAAAAAATTGATTACTAAATTGTTAAACAAAGAGAAATGAAATTGTGACAGTGTGAATCATTACAAAAACTCTTTAAAATTAGGTGAAAATTGAGAAATAATCATTAAGGCAAAAATCCCTTCTTTTTCTTATCATTTTCTCTCAAAATACTCTTTTCTCATCTCATTTCTCTGCTTTTGAACTTTGAATTGGAAAAATAAAAGAATGTCGATTTGGTAACTTTTAAAATATAATTTAGGTTATTTGAGTGCCCACGTTTGAGTGTCGTAACTTATTTTTATTTTTACAATTACACAACTTATTTTTACAATTGAGGAGTGTTTTTTAACAATTTTTTGTCTTGCAGGTTTCTGATTTTAATTTTATCTTTCAGATTTCAACATGTTTCGCGCTGTTCTAAATAATTCCCAGCGGTCTTTAATTTTGGCCAATTATGATGGGCAGAGAGGATTTGCAACTTTAAAGGATATTTCAATTCGACTTAAATCTATCAAAAATATTCAAAAGATTACTAAATCAATGAAAATGGTTTCTGCCGCTAAATACGCCAAAGCTGAGCGAGAACTCAAAGGAGCTCGTATTTATGGTCAAGGAGCTCAAGTATTTTTCGAAAATTTGATGAAGGATGTCGCTGCTCAAAAAGACGATACACCTACTGCAGGAAGCAAACGGATTCTTGTTATGGTGACAAGTGATCGAGGGCTTTGTGGTTCTGTCCATACATCCATTGGAAAGGTTTATTTTAATTTTGAGTTTTTAATTTTTATTTTTTGATAAGTAAATATTGATTGAATTTAAATTTTTTTGAAAATTTAAGTTGACAAGAAGTATTTTGACGAGCAAACCAGAAGGTGTTGAATATAAGCTTGTTTGTATTGGTGACAAAGCCAGGGCACAAATGCAACGTCTTTATTCGAAAGACTTTCTTTTTACCGCTAATGAAATTGGGCGTACTCCACCAACATTTCATGATGCTTCAGTTACCGGTTTATAATTTGAATAATAAATGTAATTTATAATAAATTTTTAGCAAATGCAATTCTCTCTTCTGGTTATGATTTTGATGGAGTATTTATTTTAAATTATTTATTTTAAAAAATTCTTTTTAGGGTGATATTCTCTACAATCAATTTAAGACGGTTGTTTCTTTTGAGACGAAACGTCTTCCGATTCCATCTTTACAAACTATTCGAAGTTATCCTCGTTTGAGTATTTATGATTCAATTGATGATGACGTCCTTAAACGGTATTTTTTAGATTAAAGTATTAAGGGATTTATTTTAGAAAAATTTTTAATCCCATTAATCTATTTCATTGTGGAAACTTTTTTTGATTTAAAATGTTTTTCTTTTAATATTTTCCAAATTCAAAAATTTTTATCTTTTTTAAGCCCTCCCCCTCCCACCAAAAATGGGGAAAGGGAAAAATTGAATGATGCTCGAAAAGGTAAAAATTTTTTCGCCTATAACCGTCAAGATTTAAAAAATTTGCGTCCGGATCGCAAATTTTGGCGCACCCCCAATGTTAGCCCCCCCAAATCGACCCACTGGCTACGTCCTTGTCTCTTTTTACACTTTAAATTTAGTTATGTTGAATATTCCTTGGCTCAGTTAATTTATTATGCAATGAAAGAAAGTGCTACAAGTGAACAGTCTTCTCGAATGACTGCAATGGATGGAGCAAGCAAAAATGCTGGTATAATAATTTTATCTTTTTTTTATTTAATTTAAATTTAAAGGAGAAATGATTGACAAATTGACTCTTCAATTTAACCGAACTCGTCAAGCAGTAATTACTCGTGAATTAATTGAAATTATTTCTGGTGCTGCTGCTGTCTAATTTTGTTTATTTGAAGTCAATTTGAAAATAAGATAGGTTTGATAAAAAAATAGATTTAAAAAAATTTTTGTTTGTTAAATTGGGGAATTAAAAGACTAGACAATTTTTTAATAAAAATTGTTCTTTGCTTTTTTGTTATTTTGATGTTTTTCTTGAAATTTTTTAATTAAATAAAAACTGCTTAAAAAATTACTAATGTTAAGCGAAGATACTAAATATACCCATATAATTTACAAAAAGTTTTCGATGGCGTTCAATCAAATTTCTTATCAAGGATTAAATTCTATTTTGGCTTTTCCTTCTCATAAGTATGAAAAAATTTTTAATTTTGAAAACAACCCCTTTTTGTAAAATTTAAAAATAATTTTTTAAAAATAAACTTTTGAATTGTTTACAATTCAAAAAATCTGTTCCTTCTTTTTTTAAATATTAATTTTTTCGTTTCTCATAATTTTATTTTAATATTACTAATTTAGAGAAAAGAAAAAAACCACAAAATTTTACACTCGTAATCGTCGAATACGAAGAACAAAAATAATAATAATTTTTACTTTTGTGTAATATAAACTATTTTATTACAATTGATCATATGGGAATAGTAAAAAATAAAAATAAATTTTTTTATAATAATCTACCGAACACTTTATTTGCGTAATGTTTTTTTGCGTCAAGGTGATTTTAAATGCTTTGTACTAGAATATTTGTATTTAATATATTTTTAGTACGTGGGTATGAAAAGCCTAGAAAAAATATTTTTTTCGTCTATCTTTCGCGAATAAGGAGAGAGAGAGGGGGGGGGGGGTGATTGACAGTTTTTTTTTCATTATTTTTCTCTTAAATGGTGTGTCCCCAAAAACACCAAAAAGTAATCGTTTAATATATTTAGCTCTAATTTTTATTTATTTTTTTTATTTCTTTATATTTGTAATAGTGTGTGTGTATATTTTTAAACAATTCTTTTTAAAAGGAATGAAGGTTTTTTCGCCTTTTAGGAATGTTTGTGATAGTGTTTTTAAAGTGGTAAGGCGGGAAAAGTCATTCCCCCTCAACTTCTCGGCGCAGTTATTTTCTAAAGGAGGTAAGGCAATCATTTGCGCCTAAAAAAGCTCAAAAAAATTTTTATACTTTTCTTCCCACATTTTTATGCTTTTGTGATCGATTCATCATTCTAGCAGTTAACTAGCCCCATCTTTCTTTTAATTCTTCTCCCTATATACACCCCCTCCTCCCTATTTTTACTTACATTAGTACTAGTAACTATTTCCGCAATCATCCTCCTTCCCAATTCTCTCCTTTTAATCCATCTACTACCACACAACCAGTCGGCTTTTAATATGATTTTTGTTTTTTTTAAATTAATAATAACCGGGCTTAAAAGTAATTAAAAAATATTTTTTTGAGATTTCCAAAAAATTCCAATTTTTTAAAAACTTTTTTGCTTGTTGGCTTTTTTTCGATTTTGTTTATTTATATGGGATTTTTTCTATTTTTTATCATTTATTTACGTTTAAAATTTTTGGATTCCCCCACGCTAATTCTCCTCTATCAATTGATGGTTGATAGACTAATCAAACAAAACTCCCCCCCCCCTCCCTCCTCTCTATTAAGTTGGACTAACTTTTTTCTCTCTTCTCCTCCTCCCCTCCACCTCCTCGAACCATAGCAAAAGCACATTTTTAACTAGTCTATCCGCCGCTTCCCCCTTCGATTATTCGTTGTTAAATGACAATACGATTATTTAGAAGTTATTAAAATATTTAACAAACCCGCAAAAAACTTTTTTTTATTTTCAACTTTTTAAATGAATATTTTAAACTTAAAAATTAACTATAAATTAATTTGAATTTGTTTTTAATTTTAATTTATTAAAATTTAAATAAAAATACCTATTTCTTTGGAAAATAAATTTTTTTAAGAATTTTTTTTCGAAATTTGTACTTTTTGAAAAGTTAAAAAATTTTTGTTTTAATTCTCTTAAAAAATGTCTAGATAAAACGTCAAACATTTATCGATTTAAGAGAAAAAGAAACTAGTTTTAATGTGGAATTGTGATACAATTGAATGAATTATTAAAATAATATATCCAATAATCTTTGAACTTGTTTACAACTGGCATTTAATAGAAAAATTCTATTTTTAGGTTTCAATCCTTTTTATGCTTTATTTATTTGCATATTTAAAATTAATAAGAAAATAGTAAACAGAAAAAATATTTAAAAATAAAAAAGTTTTTTTGTTTATTTTTAGCAGATTTTCTGGAATATTAAAATTCGAGAATTGTTTTTGATATTTTAAATATTAAAAACAGCACAAAGACAATAACAATTTAATATTTATTTAAACTTTAAAAACTTCACAAATAAACATTTTAATTGAGAAAATATTTGTCGATTTTCTTTATAATTTTTCTTGAATTAGGAATTAAAATTTAAATTTCACTTTGTCTAATGGACTCAATATAATTTACGTTTAATCTATTTTATATATTGATTAGAGGGAAGAAGGGAAGACATTTTAATTTTTTCATTTTTTATTCTTTCCATTTATACATCTGATTAAAAGTTTTTTTTAATTTAAAGAAAAAGTTCAAGTCAATAATTTTTTAGAGAATGGGAATTAAAGGAAAATTAAAAGAAAATCGACAATGTGGGAAATTTATTTAAAAAATATTTTTTTAAGCTTCGATTTGTTTTATTAAATTTATATGTTGGATTATCTCCTATATTTCTAATTCACTCCATCAGATAATTAAACATTTAAAATATAAGCGAGCCCATAACTTTTTATCTTTTCTCGCTTTTTATGATTGATTTTTTGCGAAGTAGCTCAAATTTTTCTATTAATATTTTTTTCTGTTAAATAATTTATATCGTTAAGTTTAAAATTATTTTTATCGTCAGATTGAAAAATTTTTTATACAAATATTTTGGTTTAAGAGATTTGGGGCTGCGCCGAAAAGGTTCGTAGTAAACCGGGGTGGTCCAAAAATATTTTGTTGATTTTAAAATCTTTATTAGACTGACATGGGATTGTCTAAACTCTTGCTATATTTTTAAATCAATCTTTTTTTAATGGCGCTCACAACATTTAACTATTCTTGTGTTTTCATATTCTCTTTTATTTTATTTCGTTAAAATTAAAAAAATTTTTTTTCAAAATGTATACTATTTAAGCCATATTTTTCAGTTGTGAACTTTATTTTTAATAAAAATGCTCAAACAAAATATCTATCAACATTCCATTTCGTCTTCTTCCAGTGCTCAGCCCGAACAACAGGAATCAACGCGATATGATGTTTTTGAACTTGCAAACGAGAATCAGCCTCAGACTAGCGTGCTGTTAAAGTTGACGGATGAATGTAGTGCTGCAATAAGGAATGCTGTCAATTCAAAGTGTCAGATTAGGATGCACATTAAGAACGGAGTAATTAATTTACTCACTACCTTTTTAACATATCTATGGCTTAAGGTAGCTACTATTGAAATACGTGACAGGGATGGGGCATGTATCAACTTCAAGTGTTCATTCCAAAATCAGCCGGCGACAGACACGATATGCTATGATCCTAAACAGAATGTCTACAGGTTTGATTTGAAATTAAATTTTTGATTCGAATTTTATTTTTTCAATTTAGGAATGTTGGGACGACTACAACGACTAAGATTCAGGTTTTTGTCATAAATTTGATAACCTTAATCAAATCCAAATTTATTAATAGGTTCAAGCAACCGACAAGACCTTTGCTGAGATGAAAGAGAAGACTCAACGGCTGGTCGAGGCAGAGCAACAGAGGAAAGCCAAGGATATTTCAAAAATTCAACGGCCTTCAGCAGCTTCCAAAAAGCCAATACTAAACCAGTCGAGCAACAGCCTTACAAAGAAAAATGTGCCGGCGACTACTTTTGGGCATTCCAACACCAATAATATCCTTGCGAAATTGAGTGCATTGAAGAGGACTCATTCTCCTTCGCCGTTAAATGTTGCTGCCGCAAAGGTCAAACGTGTTGAAAAACCATTGGAAAGGTCGACTCCACTGGCTGCAAAAGAAGTTAAGAATATCAAACAAGAGGAGCTAGCTCCAAAAAGCATGGATATGGCAGTAAAAGCTATTCGTTCTACTGAAGATAATGAACGCCAAAACACGTTAACGGTTTGTTTCTTAAATTTTTAATTTAAAGCTTTATTTTATCTCCCTAATTATTTTAAGCATTATCCTAAGAAGATTGAATTTGCCGCTGCCAACAATGCCAAAAACGATCCCTTCTATGTCCCAAAAAGGAAGCCACTTCACCGGCCGCCATCAATTTCGCCAGCGTCTACAACGACTTCAACACCAAAGACTATTTCTCCGCCACTTGCCATGGCTAGACCTGCTTCTGTTGACAGTGCACAATTGCAGCATAGTTCTTCCTGCTCTCCCGAAGATTTAATTAATAATCAAGAGGAAAATGGCCGTCAACAGGATGAGGGATCAATGACTTTGCCAACTAAACTTTCTTGTGATTGGTCTCTTAAATTTGGAAAGATTGCTAGTAAAGAAGAAGCTAAAAGATATCATGGGATTTTTAAGGTCAGAAATTTTTTTATATTTGATTTTAAAAATAGAAATTATGTTGATTAGGTGAAAGTTGGTGGGATGGGCTAGATTTAATTGAAAAAATTGTTTTTCATTCTCTAAAATCTAAATTATTTTAAGGAGGATTATCCAGAATATCGCAAATGCTATGATTTGATGGAAAAAGTCGCTGTTGAGTTCCGTGCTCTTCAAACAAAATTAACTTCTGCTAAATCAGATGTTGATCGTTTTGAGGTTATTATTCTTAAAAATGCTTCTTTTATTTATTTTTTAAAATTTAAGGTTGAAGATCAAATTAGAAGCAAATTTGCTTCTTATCAATGCAACCAAGACTTTCTTCAACAGCGTGTGAGGCACAGTGATTTGCGTGCAAAATTGGATTTGTTAAAATGCCGTCTGAAGGAATGGAGCGATAAAGAGAAGAGTGGATATAAGATGGAGCTTTGAGAGGTTAAAATAAAGATTATATTAGGAAATTAAAACGGTTCTATTTTTTGTAATTTTCCTTCACGTGGTAATAATTTCGAAATGTGTTTTTTTGGTTTTTAATGGACATAGTATATTCTTTTTCTAAAATTTTGTTGCTTCGATGCTTTTTTTGTTTTCTTTATATGTAGCATAGATTTGGACAGAAAAATTAGTTTTAAAAAAGTTGGTTTGATTTTTCAGTTTTCCTTTCAATTCTGAAAAAAATTTTTGACTTATCCTTTTTGGGTAAAATAAAGTTTTTGGTAATGTTTTTTCTATTTTCTTACTTCTCTGTCCAAATTTATCCACTTTCTATAGTTGTTATTTAATTTCTACGCATATCTTAAGTTCACAAGCCCATAGCTTAAAAGTAAATATATTCAAATAAATACCCATAAGATCAGGTTGTTACAGTAAATCCGTTAAATTTTGTACGTGCTTCTTAAATTCCTGCTTTTATAAAATTATTTTAAAAAATATATACTGGTTATTTCACAAATAAATCATCACTTTAAGGGCCATTTTCTAATGTAGTTTTATATTTTTGTGATTTTCAACTTTTTTATTTTGCTAAAAAGAAATAAAAAATTTTAAAATTGGATAGGTTTATTTATTTTTGAATTAAGAGTTAATTTTCAATGAAAAGAAAACAATATTTTACTTATCTAGTTTTCAACAAGCTCCAACTTATTTTCTGTCAAATTACACGTTTATTTAATAAAACTTTTGAATTAAAGAATTTCCTTTTAAATTTCTAACGTTTTTCCATTATAAGATTTTAAGTATTGATTGGTACCTTGTTTTTAATCCAGAATATTTCGTATTTCTTAATCACAAAAATATTAAATATAAATTTAGATATTGTATTAGTAGTTGCAATTTTTATAGTAAATTACCTACATATTTGTTACTTTTTACTTTCTATAACTTTAAGAAAAAAAATTGTGTTTATTAGAGAAATGCCTATACATATTATTCTTTTTAAAATCTTATTAAAAGCCTTTTATATATTTTTATTTAAAAAGTTTTAAATAATGGGTTGTTAGATAAATAATGAGCCCTTTGCGCATAAATAAAACAATCGACTATAACTAATTAATGAAATGAAATCAAGAAACAATATAATGCCCATTATTATCTAGCACTTCTTGACACTTGCTGGGCAGTTTTTGAATTTCCATTTGATAAAATTTAGTGGCACTTTTGGTATCAAGAAAGTTGTCACCCCAATTTGAGAGTTGAGCACAATTTTGGAACCTCATATCTCGCAGATGATTTTTTATCGAACGGAATAAGTGGTAATCAGACGGTGCAATATCCGAAGAATAAGGCGGATGAAATAAAAGTTGCCATCCGAGTGTCTCCGTGATGTGGGCCCGAGTTCCGTTCGCGCGATGCAGGGGTGCATTTTCCTGTTGAAAGTCAACTTTACCATAACGAACCGCACAAGCAGTTAAACCATCAAAGGCAATCTGAACTCTGTCCAATATTGTTATGTAGAGTTCGCCCGACAATCCATTGCCCTTAGAAGTTAATTCCCAGTGTAAAACCCAAAATTTAGGCCAAATTTGGGCATTTTGGCATCTAGGCCCATATCCCCATCACGGAATTTTTTGTAACATCGCTTAATCACTGTAAAAGATGCCCAACGTGTGCCCTTCAAGGCGGCATTTTCTTTTTTGGCATGAGTT